GGGGGGGTCACACCTGGATTCGGGGTTATTGAGGGGGTCACACCTGGATTTGGGGTCACACCTGGATTCTGGGTCACACCTGGATTTGGGGGGTCACACCTGGATTTGGGGTTATTGAGGGGGTCACACCTGGATTCTGGGGTCTCACCTGGATTCGGGGGGGTCTCACCTGGATTCGGGGCTCACACCTGGATTTGGGGTCACACCTGGATTTGGGGGTCTCACCTGGATTTGGGGGGTCACACCTGGATTGGGGGGTCACACCTGGATTCGGGGGGTCTCACCTGGATTCGGGGGTCACACCTGGATTTGGGGGTCACACCTGGATTTGGGGGTCTCACCTGGATTTGGGGGTCTCACCTGGATTCGGGGTTATTGAGGGGGTCTCACCTGGATTCGGGGGTCACACCTGGATTCGGGGGGTCACACCTGGCCCCGGGGGGTCACACCTGGATTGGGGGTCACACCTGGCCCCGGGGGGTCTCACCTGTCCCCTCCCCCCAGCCCCAGGTGACCCCGGTGTCGCCGCTGGAGCCGAAAGCGCCGGGCCCGGTGGGGGATGGGCAGGTGAGTGACCGCCAGGTGGGCAGGGGGAGCTCACCTGGAACTGGGGGACAGGTGACCTCACCTGGAACTGGGGGGACAGGTGTGGGATTTGGGGGGACAGGTGAGTCCCACCTGGACCTTGGGGGGATGGGCAGGTGAGTGACCGCCAGGTGGGCAGGGGGAGCTCACCTGGAACTGGGGGACAGGTGACCTCACCTGGAATTGGGGGGACAGGTGTGGGATTTGGGGGGACAGGTGAGTCCCACCTGGATTTGGGGGGACAGGTGACCCCACCTGGATTTGGGGGGGACAGGTGAGTCCCACCTGGAATTTGGGGGGGACAGGTGAGTCCCACCTGGATTTTGGGTTTCCAGGGATTCACACCTGGAATTTTGGGGGTCCCAGGTATTCACACCTGGATTTTGGGGGTTCCCAGGTATTCACACCTGGATTTTGGGGGTTCCCAGGTATTCACACCTGGATTTCAGGTGTTCCCAGGGATTCACACCTGGATTTCAGGTGTTCCCAGGTAACCTCACCTGGATTTCAGGTGTTCCCGGGGACTCACACCTGGATTTCAGGTGTTCCCAGGTAACCTCACCTGGATTTCAGGTGTTCCCAGGGATTCATACCTGGAATTTTGCTTCCCCCAGGTGACCCCTGCCGGCGGCCCGGCCGAGGCCGTGCCCCCTCACCTGGCGCTCACCTGGGCGCGGCGCCGCCGGCACAGCCCCCACTTCCCGCTCTGCTCCTTCTGCTGCGGCTGCTGCCGCAACCGCGGCTGCGGCCTCTGCTGCCGCACCTGAGCGCACCTGGCGCACCTGGGCACAGCTGGGCACACCTGGGATCACCTGAGCTTCAACTGAGCGCACCTGGGCACACCTGAGCACACCTGGGCACAGCTGGGCACACCTGGGATCACCTGAACTGCACCTGAGCGCAGCTGGGCACAGCTGAGCCCCACCTCAGCTTCACCTGAATGCACCTGGGCACACCTGGGCACAGCTGGGATCACCTGAACTGCACCTGAGCGCACCTGGGCACACCTGGGCACACCTGGGCACACCTGGGCGCACCTGGGATCACCTGAGCTTCAACTGAGCGCACCTGGGCACACCTGGGCGCACCTGGGCACACCTGAGCTTCAACTGAGCGCACCTGGGCACACCTGGGCGCACCTGGGCGCACCTGGGCACACCTGGGCACAGCTGGGATCACCTGAACTGCACCTGGCACACCTGGGCACACCTGGGCACACCTGGGATCACCTGAGCTTCAACTGAGCGCACCTGGCACACCTGGGCACACCTGGGCACACCTGGGATCACCTGAGCTTCAACTGAGCGCACCTGGGCACAGCTGGGATCACCTGAACTGCACCTGAGCGCACCTGGGCACACCTGAGCACACCTGGGCACACCTGGGATCACCTGAGCTTCAACTGAGCGCACCTGAGCACAGCTGGGCGCACCTGGGATCACCTGAACTGCACCTGAGCGCACCTGGGCACAGCTGGGCACAGCTGGAATCACCTGAACTGCACCTGAGCGCACCTGGGCACACCTGGGCACACCTGAGCTTCAACTGAGCGCACCTGAGCACAGCTGGGCACACCTGAGTGCACCTGGGATCACCTGAACTGCACCTGGGCACACCTGGGCACACCTGGGATCACCTGAACTGCACCTGAGCACACCTGGGCACAGCTGGGCACAGCTGGCATCACCTGAACAGCACCTGAGCGCACCTGGGCAGAGCTGGGCACACCTGAACTGCACCTGGGCGCACCTGGGCGCAGCTGGGATCACCTGAGCTTCAACTGAGCGCACCTGAGCACAGCTGGGCACAGCTGGGCACAGCTGGGATCAGCTGAACAGCACCTGAGCGCACCTGGGCACACCTGGGCACAGCTGGAATCACCTGGGATCACCTGAACTGCACCTGGGCGCACCTGGGCACACCTGGGCACAGCTGGAATCACCTGGGATCACCTGAGCGCACCTGGGCACACCTGGGCACACCTGGGATCAGCTGAACTGCACCTGGGCACACCTGGACTACACCTGGGCAGAGCTGAGCCTCACCTGAGCCCACCTGGGCACACCTGGAGACACCGGAACGGCACCTGAGTGAACCCTGGCACACCTGGGCACACCTGGGCACACCTGAGCCCACCTGAGCCCACCTGTGCCCACCTGAGCCCCCTATTTATTACCTGTGCCCCCATTAAAGGTGTTTTCTAAAGGCCTCGTCTGATTTTGGGGGGTCCCAGGTGAATTTTGGGGTGTTCAGGTGAATTTTGGGGGGTCCCAGGTGAGGTTTGGGGGTCCCAGGTGAACTTTGGGGGGTCCCAGGTGGA